TTCCTGCTCCTCTGATGCTGCTTGGCCTGCTGTGTTCATCCAGCTCTGCACCTTGTTATCTCAGATTCTCCAGCATCTGCAGTTCCTGCTATCTCTGCTACATTTAGTATCTGAGATTTCACTCAATTGAATTTCATGCACAGAGGTAGATTTTTTTTCATACTGGGTTACTGTGATGTTTTCACTGGTTATAAAGATAGTAGTTACATGTTTCTGTTACATTTTGGAGGCTGCCAGGAGAGATATCTCAACATTCATTGAGGTCGATTACTGTAGGCTCTGCTTGCTCCCTCCACCCATTTCAATGCAAATTCTCTGGAAAACACATTGCAGCAACTTGCCATTGCTACTTATGCCAGTGAGGAGAGACATTCCTGTACCCTAGCAAGAACAGGTAACCCCAAAACTCTACTCCAGAGAGAACTGACCATCCCAGAAACTAGCCTCAGCAGGAACTAACATCCCAGAGATTGTACCCGAGCAAGAACAGGTATCACAGAAAGTGTGTCCTAACAAGAACAGGTATCACAGAAAACTGTAGCCTAACAAGAACAGGTATGACAAAGTGAATGCCAGCAAGAATTCAAAATTATTCTGTTGGTTTGATGAAATGTCATTTTAAAGCTATGGATTTGTGCTTTGATCACTCTTTAGAAGGAAGAAGGGAAGATGATGGAGCGCAGAAAGAAGATTGCTCTTGAACTCTCTGACCTAGTCGTGTACTGCAGACCTGTTCCTTTTGATGAAGAAAGTAAGTGATATTAAGGACAGCACCAGCCTGTTAGCAGTAAGTGACAGGGACAGTTGATGTGTGATGTGCGTGTACACACCTGCGCGCACACACACACACGTACACACACACTTACATTCCTCTCTGTGTGAGTTCCTTGCCCTCAGGTCCAAGCCAAATTGTTGTCTTTCTCTAATAAGTTTGCGGAGTGGGAAGGGAGAATTGGTGGACTGCACTTCATGTTGACTGTGTACTGTTATGGATTTGTTTTTTAAGTGTAAATTTGCTGTACTACAGATATTTCTGGTCTGGGAAATGTGACCCAAACTGTTCTTAGTCATTATAACCTTGTAATCAAAAATGCCTATTCCCAAACCCTTACCCAGTGTGGCCCCATTTTATTGCCATTAATGTTATGTGAGCCCTGGTGCGGGGAAAGGTTTGGCAGCTTCAGCGGCTGGTGGCTGCTAGTATTTTAACTCCTGAGCACTGAGAGGTGAGTGCACACCTCCCCTATCCCTGCCCAGCAGTTGAAGGAGACAGATTTTCCCCAACCCCACCGTGTCACACAAAGTCAGAAGCTGAAATAACTGCAGAGGCTAGTATCCCATCACCAAGTCACCCTCCATTTACATTCACTGGCTGTAACCAGCCAGCTCGGAGTCAGTCCCTGAACCGAGAAGATTCTGAATCCCCTCTTTAGATTGGTCAGGCAGGGCTCCCTGATTGACCCAGGTTAATGACCCAATTGAAGATCTCATAGTCAATAAGATCCACCTGGTTCCAATCACTACAGAAGCATTAAAATGGAGTCACACTGCAATGAAGTTAGAAGTAAACGTAAGCTTCTGAGCGGGTGGAGGTGGAGGAGCCAAGAAGAATTTCAGCATGGTGGGAATTATTGAAGGTGGGGGTCTTAAAAAGAAAATGAATACCGACTTTTGCTCAGAAATTTTTTTTTTGCAGCAGCAGCAATCAGACCTCAAGAAATCCGTCTGTTGGGTCACAACCACTAGTACAGAAAATAACCTGGAGGATTTAAAGGAGCCAGGGAGCTGTTGGCACTCAGTCCAAGCAAGCATCTTGTGTTGTAACTCCACTTGAGGCTGCAATTTACTGTTAGGACGGCTGGCTTTTAATATCAGGGTGTTCCCAGATTGCATCCTTAGACATAGTTGCCCTATTGACTATTGTCTCTCATGTCCCAAGGCAATGGTGAAATGAAAATAAAACGGGATTCCAGTCAGTTTCTGATTGTTATTCGGTAAATGTTGAAGTCTTTGAGCTTCAACATTCTGACCAGAACATGTGGGATGAAGTAACTAAATTTTTTTTGAAAATTGAGATTGATAGTGATCTGACCGTCACACTAATGTAATAATAGCAATTATTGCCCAGGGCCACTTTGTTGAAAAGAAGATTTTATTGCATGATGATGACAGAATTGAAGAATAGACCAAGGTAAGTTCCTACAGGGCAAACTATGGACCTAGCCTACAATGCATTGTAAAAAATTAACATTGGAACATTGAATGGGAAATGTTGACACAGGAATCTACAATGCTTAAAATTAACAGAAAAGTGTGATCTGAAATTGTGGCAACAGGAAGCTTTGTTTGCATTCTGCATGCAAGATTTTGAAACCACTGAATGATATTAGAGTTTTTTGCCTTTAACCTATTGTTGATCTTCTGGTTAGACCAAAAGTGCAGATCCAATGGGTGTCAGGGTAGCCTTTCATTTTGAGTGTCAGGCAGGAAGACTACCTAAATGTAGAGGTGTATCTGTGAGGGTCCAAAAGGTGTAGAAAGAATTTGCACATCGGTTATCATTGCAGAAGTACAAGTAGAGTTGGAAACTCAGATCACACTGCTGAGGAAGCAGGAAACTGGTTGTGGCACCTGTGAGCTAGGAGATGAACTGCCAAACATTGGATACAACGGCAGTCTGGTCAGAATGTTCGTTGTTCTAAAATTGTTTCTCCCAGGGATCATTTGTTCATGCTAACCATGTGACATTGGTCATACGGAGCAAGCAGCGTCATGGCCAAGATGAAACCTTCTGACTGTCAAGCAGATGGATAGTGATTAATGGACAAGGTGGATTACAAATAATGGGAAGGACTGGCCCTCCCCAAGAAAATTGAGTGTGTAGATGGTGCAGGTAAAATTAGGAATGCATCTAAGAAATGATAAGACAATAATCTCTCCCGTTGTTTCTTTGTGATGCAGAGATTGGGAGTGATCGGGCCTGCTACCGGGATATGTCATCGTTTCCGGAAACCAAGGCAGAGAAATACGTGAACCGAGTCAAGGGGAAGAAATTTCTACAATACAACCGTCTGCAGCTGAGTCGCATCTATCCCAAAGGCCAGCGCCTCGATTCATCCAACTACGACCCCCTGCCCATGTGGATTTGTGGCAGTCAGTTAGTGGCATTGAACTTCCAGACTCCAGGTGCTTGTTACTTTCTCCTTCTTTCTGTTTTTGTCCACATTACTACTGAACTCACCCAACCCACACACACAATTTTCTCTGTGTCGGATCAGTTCCCGATTCCCTAACGATGCCCCATCTGAACCAGCTTTCGTTGCCCAGAGCATTTGAATGAGGCACTGCATTTGTGTGGAATCTTAAAGGCAAGACATTGAGATTGAGTTTTATTTATTGTTGTCACATGTACCAAGATACAGTGAAAAGTATTGTTTTGCGTGTTATATAGCCAGATCATACCATACAAAGTGCATTAGGGTAGCAGAACTGAGTACAGAACACAGTGTTATTAGCCTCAGAGAAGGTGCACAGAGAGAGAGAGATCAACACTAACATTTGAGAGGCCCATTCAAAAGTCTGATAACAGCGGGGAAAAAACTGTTCTTGAATCTGTTCGTACATGTATTCAAGCTTTTATATCTTCTGCTCGACTGAAGATGGTGGCAGGGAGTATAACCGGACTGGGAGGGGTCTTTGATTATGTTGGTTGCTTTCCCAAGACAGAGGGAAGTATACATGGAGTCAATGGATGGAAGGCTGGTTTGCCTGATGGACTGAGCGTTCATGACTCCCTGTAATTTCTTGCAGTCTTGGGAAGAGCAGTTACCATTCCATGCTGTGATACATCCAGATAGGCTGCTTTCTATGGTGCATCTATAAAAATTGGTCAGAGTCTTGGTATAGATGTGCTGAATTTCCTTAGCCTCCTGAGGAAGTGGAGGCGTTGTTGTACTTTCTTGACTGTCACATCGATATGGATGGACCAGGACAGATTGTTGGTGTTCATCACTCTCAGGAACCTGACTCTCTTGAAGATCTCCACTTCAGCACCATTGATGCAGAGTGAGCATGCTATGTTTTCCATGTTGGTGTGCAGTCATGTGCACAAAAGGATGTCAGTGAACAATGCTCACTACCCAATGGGGTGACCTTCATTTCACCAGTATCAAGCCCTGGGTGAATGTTGGGGTGGTGGTAATATCACTGATCAGTAATCCAGCAGGCTCCAGGCTAGTGCTGTAGAAACATTGGTTCAAATCCCACCATGGCAGTTTGTGGAATTTAAATTCAATTAACAAAATTTGTAATTGAAAGCTTGCCTCAGGAGTGAGTTGATCATGAAAGCTATTATTCATTCTTATAGAACTGGTTTATTGGTGTCCTTTAGGGAAGGAAATCTGCCACTTCTACCTTATCTGACCTATATCTGACTCCAGATCCACAGAAACGTTGTTAACTTTTAACTACCCTCTGAAATGGCCCACCGAGCAACTGAGGTCAAGGGTAATGATAGATAGGCAAAAAATCCTACCCTTGCCAATCCTACACTTCCCATGGAAGATTAAAGAAAATAAAACTTTCCTGAAGCAATCCCACAACAGTACACAACAACCTTGCAGAAGGGAAGGAGGTATGTTATGGGAACAGGGATGATGAAGCTAGCGGATAGCTACACCGGAGATTGTCCAATGACTCTGTCTGATAGTCCCCATCAAGGACTCTGCGCCCAGCTTTCGGCTCCACCAACCACAACCTTTGACTACACTGATTCAGCATCCCATATCATGCATCTATTTTCCAGTGCCAGTTTATTTCTTTATATTTCAATCACATCAGCATGCAGAATATTGTTGATTGGAACTGCCTTTTATTGTGATGGAATGAGCATGGTATTAGCTTTTCAGTTCTTGGCAAAGTTCAAGTTCACAGTATTAATCCTGGCACAAAACCTCATCGTTTACTCTGGTTTTGCCTGGATTGACAAAGTAAAGTTATGAATCTGGATCTGATATGGACTGTAGGCTAGTTGTAACTGGTTAAGGGTTAAACCTAGCCAGTTGTCTTTGGTATCATATCCTAATTTTTATTCCTCTGTCTCCCAGATAAACCCATGCAGATGAATCAGTCATTGTTCATGTTGAATGGAAAGTGTGGATATGTTCTCCAGCCAGCCATTATGAGGGATGAGCAGTTTGATCCTTTTGACAAGCACTCGGTGAGGCCAAACGAGTCACTCTTCATTCAACTCCAGGTGCGTTACATGGTCAACATGATTATTGTCTGTGAGGTTAGATTGAGATCAGTTTCTCAGACATTAAACAGATTCAAAGGGTTATTTTGCAACTGCATTATTGCGTTACTGTATGGAAGAAGTTGTGACGCTGTAATCAAGGAGGCAACTGTTGGTATAAAAGAAAATATCAAAAGTGAACAAATCATACTGTGGGTTTTACTGTCTACTGAGCTAACATTTGGGAGGCTGGATTATTTGAGGGAAAAAAAAGACATACATTTATGTCAAGTCTTTACCACCTCCGGGTCCCCCACGTGTTTTACTATCAATTACATAGTCAATGTTGTCATGTATTAAACACAGGAGCCAATTTGGACACAAGCTCCCACGATCAGCAGTGAGGAAATGACCAGATAATTTTTTTTGTGACAGTGGTTTAGAGATAAATATTCACCAGGGCATCAGGGATAACTCCTCAGTATAGTGTAAAAGGACCTTTTACGGATACCTTTTATGGACTGTCAGTTTAAAGATAACAGTTCCAACAGGGCAGCATACCTTCAGTACTACAACGGAGTGCATCACCTACAGTTGGACTGGATGAGGTTTCAAAGAATTAAGGGAATGCAATGGGGATTTATTTACGTAATTGGTGAGTAAGGAGCCACTGTACAGGACTAACAGTGAATGGAGGGCCCGGTGATGAATTTTTTTTATTCTTTCATGGGATATGGATGTCACTGGCTAGGCAGAATTTATTTACCATGCCTAATTGCCCTTAAGAGGGTCAACTTAGAAATGTACAGAGGTGAAGTCGAGGGAGGGCACAAATTTCCAAACAAACACCACCTGCCCGTGTGTGGCTGAGTATGCAGATTATGCATCGAATAACCACTCATCTCAGAATCCATCGAACCAGAAACAAGTCATCTTCGATCCCACAGGATCACCTAAGAGGAGGAAGGGTGACTTGGAGATCATGTAGGACGAATCACAGAAGGCCAGTCAGGAGATGGTTGAAGAAATTATGGACACCATGAAGCTTTCAACAGACAAGATGCGATGCAATGCAGTGGACGAGGTCAAAATTACTGTAGTGGAAATAGCAAGTTTTGAAGATGAATTGAAGAATTGATCAGAGTCAGGATGGTGAAATAACTCAATAGAGACCGGTAGCCCATCGTCAAATCACCCTTTATTTACATGTGCATTGTATTTGACAATGGACTGGCTTCCTCCGAGCCAGCTCTCCGTGTGAACAGAACCTCTGATGCTCCTGCTTATATTTATCGGCCAGAGCTCCCTGATTGGACCAGATTAACAGGCCCACTCAGGGAACTCATATTCTGTGAGGTCTACGTGGCTGACCTTGTTACAATCACTACAGAAGGGAAGATAATCAGAAGATAAGTTGCAGTGTTTTCAACAGAAGTAGGAGCACATTGGTCCAAAGTTGCCAGTATTAACTTGCAGGGAATTCTGGTTCATGTACAATACAATGCCAATCAGCATGGTAACAATGAAGCATTTGAGAGTAACGTCAGCAGCATGAATGTTGAAGTTGACCCCATCTTTGTAGGTATATCAAACAGTTTAAGCAGTGTTAATGAAATGCAGATTATGATGGAAGACTGGTTAGCAAGATATAACAAGTGAATAACTTTTTTTTGCATTCTCTTAATATTGATCTCACCAGGTCTTGGGGGCTCGTCACTTGCCTAAGAATGGCAGAGGCATAACCTCTCCATTTGTAGAGGTCGAGGTTTGTGGAGCTGACTACGATAACTGCAAGTTCAAGACTGAGATTGTTGGTAAGAATATCGTCCATAGTTCCAACCACTGAGACAGCTAAGGCCCAGCCACAGTTATAGTGATAACTTCCTCTGTGATATTGTTATCAACTTTTCACCAATTTATCTTCTTCACTCTGTGGTGGAACTGCTGATGTGGATTTGCTTGAGGGCAGTCTCCCCAACTGCACTTTTAGATTTTAACTTACTGGATGTAACAGCCGTGAATGAGGCTGTAGTTAATTCTCTAATTTAGTCCTGAGGTATATTGAATCAGGTCAAGGGTACTGCCATAAAACTGTCCCTGCTTAAACACTCTCCCTTCAGTAGCTTGTTGAGAAAACTCTCAGTGCTTATGAGTCACTCCCCCCCCCACCCCCAAAATCCCGCCATCGTTCCAGTGTTAAGGAAGTCCTTGAATGTCACTGGATGAGTGTAGAGAAGTGTTAGTGTAGGGGTAATGTCACTGCACTAGTTGTTCAAAAATCTAAACTAATGCTGTGGGGATGAAGACTTGAACCCCAGAATGAAAACAGAAATAATTCATAAATCCTGAATTTGTCTCAGGAGTGGTGACCATGAAACTACTGTCAATAAACTATTGTTATAAAAATCCATCTGGTTCACTTAATGTCCTTTAGGGAAGAAAAACTTCCATTCTCACCCAATGTGGCCTACATATGACTCATACCCACAGTAACATCATTGACTCTTAGAGGCTGACTGAAATGTTAGGGGTGGCACAGCGCTCAGTGGACAGTGCTGCTGCCTCACAGCGCCAAGGACCTGGGTTCAATTCCGGCCTCGGGCGACTGTCTGTGTGGAGTTTGCACATTCTCCCAATGTCTGTGTGGGTTTCCTCCAGATACTCCGGTTTCCTTCCACAGTCCAAAGACATGCAAGTTAGGTGGATTGGCAATGCTAAATTGCCCATACTGTCCAGGGACGTGCAGGTTAGATGGATTAGCCATGGGAAATGCAGCATTACAGGGATAGAGTAGGCGTGTAAGTCTGGGTGGGATGCTCTCCAAGGAGTTGGTGTGGACTTGTTGGGCCAAATGGCCTGTTTCCAATTGTAGGGATTCTAAAGAAGCAAACCACCATCCTCTCCAAACATATACTTTACCAAACTTCTGCAGAAAAGGTAAAAGTTATCTGTTGAGGGGCCTGCCTCTGGATGAGAAGGTCCAGGTTTGAGTCCCACAATCCCTGGAGCTGTTTCTGACCAGGTTTTTTCAAAATCATTTTTGAGAGTCTGTGGCACAGTGGTAGTGTCCCTAACTTTGAGCCAGAATGTCCAATTCAAATCCCACCTGTCTGAGAGATATGTCACAGCGTGTCCAAGCAGGTTGATTAAAATAACTATTACCATTAGCCTCAATGCTCCTTGGTCAGGGTCAAGCCTCAGGTTGGTATCTATCACCCCTCTTAGGGTATTTGTGCATGTATATCAGACAAGGATAGAATTGGGCACAGTTCTGATTTCCTCAGATAGGTTGCATCTGTCTTACAAAGTGACTGTGGTTCCCATGGCTTACCCATAAAGACCACCCACTTGAGGAGGTATCTTAGAACAGTTAAATTCATTTGAGGTATTAAAGAAGTGATCAATAGCATGCAGAGAAGAGGGGTGATGAAAAAATGACCAAGTGAACAGGCCAAAAGGTCTGAATCCAGAGTGAAGCATATTATTGTTGAACATGATGGTACAGTATTAATAGTGAATAACGACAATTTTCATTTTTATAGCACTTACAGGAAATGCCTGGAGAACTTTTACTGAGGTATTTCAACAAAAATAGATGCTGAGTTACATCAGGAAATCTGAGGGCAGATAACAAAAAGCATGGTCAAAGAGGTGGGACTGAAGGAGTAGCAAAGGAGGAGAGAGAGTTAGGATGGGAAATCCAGAGCTTTGGTCATGGTACTGAAGATTGTGTGGATCTGAAGAAAGTAGGAGTTCCTAAGAGGCCAGAACTAAACAGATTGAGCCTGCTGTAGCTCCCAAGATGTCTTCTGTTTGGTGGCACACTGAAGGAAATAACAGTTCCATTTTCATTTCTTTCCATTTTAGCAGTGAATGGCTTAAACCCCACATGGACAGCAAAGCCATTTTCTATAAACATCACTAATCCAGAATTCAGCTTCTTACGATTTGTTGTCTATGAGGAGGATGTGTTCAGCGATCAGAATTTTCTGGCAGAAGCAACCTTTCCTGTCAAAGCCATAAGGACAGGTAGAAAAACATTCTTGTCTCCCCATTCCTTTTGCTGTGTAATGTCTGTCCATTGTCCTGCTTCAACACCCTCCTTCTTTTGCCTGCTGTCCCTCACTAATTCAGTTCTTGTCTCCTATCTGGTTTGGTAAGCCATGCTGCATGTTGTTTCACATACCATTCTGTGTTGCTTGAGTGCCCATTTGTCTTTCTTTAATTGCCCATCCCACATGTTGCATTGCTGCCTGCTCCTTTTGAGGAAAAACAGGACTTGGGAACAGGAGTAGGCCATTTGGCCCACCAAGCATGGTCTGCCATTCAATAAGATTATGGGTAACCTGGGTGTAGCCCAAGTCCATTTTCCTGTCTGCTGCTTCCTTAACCTTTGATTCCTGTGACTACCAAAAATGTTTCGTCACTGGCAATTCCCAAATGATCTTATCCACAAGTTGCTGGGTTCTGTTGGCTGACTTTCTGTTCCTCCTCAACCCCCATCACTACCCCTCCATCCTTGTCTACTTCCTGCTATAATGCATACTGTTAACTCAGCTGGTCTCTTTCGTTTTCTCAGGATACCGATCGGTGCCTTTGAAGAACAGCTACAGTGAGGATCTTGAATTGGCAGCGTTAATGGTCTACCTGAAGATCTTGGAATCAATGATAAGGGTAGGACAGCTACACTCCCAGCTTATTTTGGCTTTCTGCAGCATAGGGGTGACCAATCAGTGACAGTCCCAATCCATGCTGACTCCTGCTGTTCCCAAAGGTTCATTCTCCAGTGAGAGGGGGTACTGACTGAACTGTGAACGTTATACAGAACCCCAGTCTTCCCTGATAATTTTTTTTTAAATTAGAGTTAGAAGTTAGAAAGAATGGCTAGTGATACAACAAGGTACAATTATAACATTCATTATAATTGGAATCTCCACTTAAAAAGAAATGATCAGGAGGCCAAAGGGAGGAAGCAAGTTAGCAGGTCTAAATACATAGGCCTTTCAGAGAGCAGACAGAAGCATGGTGGTTGAGTGGCCTCTTTTTGAGCTGTTATAGAATTATATCGACTCTTTCTACTCTCGTGTTCTTCTTCTTTGTCTCCTGCTAACCCCTCCTCCTACTTATTAATTTTAACTATTGTCTTTGCTCAGGAAAATGGTGACACAGTTCTGTGCCCATCAAATCCGTCCCTCCGGGAGCGCAGCGCTGACCATTCTAGCCAACTGCTGGCCTTCAGGGGCAGGGAAGGATCGTTCGATGCTCGATATCAGCAGGAAGATCTTAGGCTTTTCCAGGAACAGCAGCTGGAGCACACAGAGACCAGAGAGAGGAGGTAACGCCATGTTATCTGAATAAATAACAAAAATGAAGCAAATCAGCCGACTTGAGGCTCTAACAGGACATGGTCACAATACAGCACAATGGCGGTGGCGGGTGGCAAAAGTCACTGGACTATAGTAATCCAGAATCCCAGGCCATACTCTGGGGATACCAGTTCAAATCCTGTCACAGCTGGGAGTGGAATCTGAACTCAATTAATAAATTTGAAATTATATAAAGCCCAAACTATTATCAATTGTTGTAATATCCCAATTGGTTCACTGATGTCCTTCTGGAAAGGAAATCTGCTGACCTTGCTCAGTCTGGCCTACATTTGACTCTAGATTTACAGTCATGTGGTTGACTTTTAACCGAAAACCTCTGAAATGATAAATCAGAAAACTACTCAGATCAAGGGAAATGGTGAAGGAGCAGCAAATGCTAGACATGTCAGTGATGCCCATTTCCCATGCAGGATGACAAAGAAATTGCAAGTGTTATAAAATCATTCAGTATGGAAGGAGGCTGCTCAGTGAAAACTGTCTGTAACAAACTGACTGTAAAAGCTATTTAATTAATCCCATTCTTTTTTCCCCACAGTCTTGCATTCTTTTCATTCCTAGTATAAATCCAGTTTCCTCATCAGCTAATTCAGCATAAATTGAGGATTAAACCTGGTGCTTCTGTTGGGCAGCTAGCTCTGCAGCATAGTGTGACATATTATTGAGACAGGCTAGTTTTTTTTTTATTTTTAAGAAATTAGTTGGTTGAGTTGTGACCAGCAGCATTATACTGTGATTGCATCACTTGGGTCACCTTGACACCATCCCCTACATATAGAGTACCTTGTTACCATGGTGAAGCAACCCGTTCAATATTAATGGAGAAGGCTTGAGTCAGAGTCTAGCACTCTGTACGGAAGCCTGCAAAATCACAACGCTTATTTATCACAAGTTTTATGCATGTGCTCACAGTGTATGTGGGCTCATCGGAGACAAATCTTTGATGTGTTGGAAGGAGAGGGATTACTATGTAATTGGCATTGTTATCTCCAGCTTCAAATGTTTCCCATTCAGTCAAATATCTATCCTGCTCATCTCCAATATTTTTAAATCCAATAAATAAAAGCATTGAAAGAATTTTTCAACACATCAAAAGCACTCCATTTTTAAATGACCCTGGGAGTTTCCCAGAGCTAGTTTTCCAGAATATTCTGTTCCTGCAGAATCCAGGGGAAGCCTGGAGAATTGGCAAACCCAGTGTCCAGAGGGAAAGACCTGTAGCTGGTGTGGGAGCTGGTAATGGGGAAAGAACAAAATGAATAAAACTGAGTTGCCATAGTTACACAAGACGGTTCACCTATGTCACTTTAACAAACAAGTGTTAAAGTCAGAAGATAGACAAGCTATTGTCAACATTGTTGATCAGTAATAAACAATTCTAAAGGACATCTTGGTACTTTGTGCCTTTATTTAGTTTACACGTGCCCCGCTTTGTCTCTGCTTCCTCCGTAACGTATCGTCTGTATTTCATCATGGACGGCGTGTACTTATGTAATGTTTTTAACTTGTTCTATACTTTGTCTTATGCATATCCTATATATAAATCACATATATGATCACGTGTTCAGTACGTCTGCATCATCTCATCCGCTGTTTTTTGTCTGGTACACTGTATACTTGATATTGTGAATGTTTTCAATCTAAGAACCCATGTTGAGAACATGTGAAATAGGAGCAGGAATAGGCCATTCAGTCCTTTGAGACTGCTGTGCCATTCACTTCAATACAACTTTTTCTCCCACTATCCATATCCTGGAGTCCAAGTCTATCTGTCTCAGTCTTGAATGTACACAACAAGTGAATCTCCACAACCTTCCAGAGCAGAGAATCCAAAGATTTATAACCCTCTGAGTGAAGAAAGTCCTCCTCATTTTACTCTGAACTAGCCAGACCCACCAGCTAGGGGCAACACCCTCTCAGAATCTACCCTGTCAGGTTTCCCTAAAATAACTATGGTCTTTACAGTGACAACACGTTACAATATAAATTACTAACTTGGATGAGGGGAGTGAAGACACTGTTGCCAAGTTTGTGGATGACACAAAAATAGATGGTAAGGCAAGTAATGAGAAAGACACAGTCTACAGAGGGATATAGATAAGTGAATGGGCAAAAACTTGGCAGATGGAATATAATGTGGGAAATGTGAGGTTATGCACTTTGTCGAAAGAAGAGGAGATGAACATTATCTATTTGAGAAAGGTCACTGAAATCTGTAGTACAGAGGGATTTAGATATCCTAGTAAAGGAATCACAAAAGGTAGCATACAAATTCAGCAGCTAATTGGGAAGGGCTGTGAAATATTGTCCTTTATTTCAAAGGGAATGGAGTATAACAATAGGGAGGTGTTGCTAAAACTACAGAAGGCAGTACACAGACCACACCTGGAATGCTGGGAATGGTTTTGGTCCCCTTATCTAAAGAATAATATAGTGGCATTGGAGGCAGTTCAGACAAAGTTCACTAGGTTGATTCTGGGCAAGGAGGGATTTTCTTATGAAGCATAGTTGAGTAGATTGGGCCAGTGCTAAATGGAGTTTAGAAGAATGAGAAGAGACTTTACTGAAACATCTAAGACTCTTAGGGGCTTGACTGGGTAGATTTGAGAGGTTGTTTCCTGTCATGGGAAATTGTAGAACCAGGGGCATTACCTCAGAGTAAGGGTTCAGCCATTTAAGACAGAGATGAGGAGGAATTTCTTCCCTCGGAAGATATTGAATGTGTTGAATTCATTGCCACAGCGAGGTGTTGAGGCTGGGTTGTCAAGAATATTCAAGACACAAATAAGACCAATATTTACTCAATAATGGATTTAAAGGTTATGGGGAAATGGTTGGAAAGTGGAGTTGAGGATTATCAGATTAACTATGTACCTCATTGAATGACAGAGCAGACTCAATGGACTGAATGGCACCTTTGCACCTAATCTTATGGTTTTTTGGTATATTTATTCTGAACACCGTTTTATGTACATCTGTGCATGTATTTTATTCAATTTTTATGTTATTATTCCATTACTGATGATATAAATTTCATGCCGATAAGTTTCTATTCCGTCTACCAGTAATTGCTGCAATATCATTCTCAGTCTAATGTCTATGTTTTCAACAGTCTATCATCTTCATCGTGACTAAAGAGTTATTCCAGGCAATCATTAATATTATTAATAATCAGGAAGGTAAATGGGTATGTTGGCATTCATTTCAGGGGGTTTTGAGAAGAAGTCTTGCTCCAATTGTATAGAGTCTCCCCACCTGGAGAATTCCACGCAGTTTTAGACTCCTTACCTAAAGAAGTATATGCTTGCTATCCAGGGAGTGCCACAAAGATTCACCAGACCAAGCCCTGGGATGGCTGCATTTTCCTATGAGGAGAGATTGAGGAGGCAGGGCCTGTATTCTGTAGAAGTCAAAAGAATGAGAGCTGTTCTCATTGAAGCATATAAAGTTCATACAGGGCTGGACATGGTGAAACCAGGCACAATGTTTTCCTGGATGGGAGTAGGGAGGTTTAGGGCTGGTCGCACAGTTTCAGAAATAAGAGGCCATTTCAAATTGAGAAGGAATTTTTGACGCTGAGGGTGATGAAATCACACCCTGGAGAGCTGTGGAAGCTCAATCATTGAATATATTGAAGGCAGAGAATAAAGATTTCTAGTTTTTTTTTATTCATTAGATGTGGGCGTCACTGACCAGGTGAGCGTTTATTGTCAATCTCTAATTGTGGGTCTGGAGTCACATGTAGGTCAGACCAAGTAAAGATGGCAGTTTCGTTCCCTAAAGGACATTAGTGAACCAGATGGATTTTTCCTGACCATCAGCAATGTTTCCATGGTCATCATTAGACTCTGATTTCCAGGTTATTATTGAATTCAAATTCCACTATCTACCATGGTGGGATTCAAACCCAAGTCCCCAGAACATTACCTGGGTCTCTGCATTAATAGTCTGGCAATCATACCACTAGGCCACGCCTATCCCTTATATTTAAAGATATCAAGGGATGTTGAGATAATGTGGGAAAACGGTGTTGATGTCAAAGATCTGTCATGATCCCATTGAATGGCAGAGCGTGCTCGAGAGGGTGAAAGACCTAATCCTGCTTCGTTTGGTAGCCGTTCTAAATTTGAAATAATTTATTCTTATGATATTCTGCCATCGACTTTCCATTACTGGTAAACAACATTACTCTGTTTCTTTCACTCAGATTATTAAGAAGAACTAGGATAAGTGGAGACAACAGATGAAGGTTGGTGGAGACGGATTGTGCGGATGCTCTGTCAGTTCTAGGGACGTGGACTGCTACAATTTGGTTTCTATGGAAACTTGCTGGCTCTGGCCTATTTTGGGCAGCCTCTCCGATTCATAATCTTTGTATTCACAGGAAAGTGACATTTTTATAATGTGCTGTTAAAAATAAATAGTTTTAAAGAGGAGAAAAATAAGAAATTCACACCCGGTAGAGATGGGAACTGGCCAGTGTTTCATCTTTGTAATTACTTTTCTGTTGAATTGTGCAGCCTGGTCAGTCATTCATGATCTACTGCTTATTAAACTGTGAGAATTGTTCTTACTTGAAGAACACATTGTATCTGTGCTAGTGTCATGTAATATAATGGTAAAGATGCCTTTCACCAGAGACGCATCAAGCTATAGAGTGTGTTTATTAAATACTTGTCCATGATATACAGTATTGTCCTGTGCAATTTATTTGAATTCCAGTATATTGAGTGTTATTAGGAGCTGCTGCTGTTCAGCACTGGTTCACAGGTTACCAGGAGCTTTTGTTTCACTCTGTAAAAATGCTTGCTGAGGATGGCTACTGGACAGCTGTCTCTATCCTGGTGAGAAAGTTGTTCAGAGCCCTGTGCAATGATCTGGTACCAAGGTTACAAACTCAGGACTGGCTTTGTCATGGAGTGCCATGAATGTAAAAGCATCCTGGCATGCAAATGAGAGAGTTCATGGAATCTTACAACAAAGAAAGAGTCCGTTCAACCCATTATGCCTATGGCACCTCCTGAAAGAGCTACCCAATGTTCTGCTTTTTCCCCAAAATGCTATAATAGTTTTCCTTCTCAGGCATATAACCAGCACTCTTTAAGGCAATGCTTTGCAAATCATAATAACTCACTACATTGAAATGTTTCTCCAAACGCACCCCGACCACCAGCTTTGCTCTTCTGCAAATAATCTTAAATACCCTGATGATTGTAAATCTGTATTCTAAATGACACAGGCTGAAAGTCTTTTTAAGCTTATTTCATCAAGCAGCATACAGCTCTGGTGCCTGTACATGAGGGTTGTGCTCTCATTCAGAGGGTTCAAACACTTTTTGAAAACACTTATCCTCAAGACCCATACAATGGATATGAAGCTAGGACTGACTTTCCTGACTCTCAAAGTGCAGGTCCTATCTCTGAAATCGAGCACTGTCAATGCTCAAGTTTTGGCTCAGTGGTCGTGCTAAAACTTCCGAGTCAGAAGGCTATCTGTTCAAATTCTACTCTATTGAGCACAGAATCAAAATTGACACTGCAAGGTAGTGCTGCCTTCTTCCATGAGATGTTTCAAATAGGCACATGTAAAGTTTCACAAATTTCAAAGAGTAGGGTAGTTCTTTCCAGTGTTCTGGCTAATATTTAACTTCAACCAAAATCACTGAAATAGTGGCCATTATCTGTGGAAATTCCTCTTGATGGAGGGATCAATGACCAGGGGAATAGATTTGAGGTAAGGGACAGAAGGTTGAGAGGAAATGTGAGGAAAAACGTCTTCACACAGAGGATGACGAAGTAAGAGTGGCAGAGGCAGAAACGCTCAAAATATTTAAGAAGTATTTAGATGGTTTGGCCACATCTGGAGTATTGTGTCCAGTTCTGGTCGCCTCATTACAGGAAAGATGTGGAAGAGTTGGAAAAGGTGCCGAGGAGATTTACCAGGTTGTTGCCTGGAATGGAGGGAAGGTCTTATGAGGAAAGATTGAGAGAGCTAGGACTTTTCTCTTAAGAACGACGAAGGATGAGAGGTGACTTGATAGAGGTGTACAAAATGATCAGAGGTATAGATAAATCTGAGTGGACAGCCAGAGACTTTTTCCTAGGGTGGAGGTAACTATTATGAGGGGGCATAGTTTTAACGTGAGTGGAGGTAGATATAGGGGAGACGTCAGAGGTAGGTTCTTTACTCAGAGAGTGATAGGGGAGTGGAATGCATTGCTGGAGAGGGTAGTGGAGTTGACCTCATTAGTGGCATTTAAGCGGCTATTAGATAGGCATATGGATGATAGTATAAGGTAGGGATGGAGATTAGGTAGACCTTAGGTTTAGGGTAAAAGTTCGGCACAACATCGTGGGCCAAAGGGCCTGTACTATGCTGTACTGTTCTATGTTCTATGGTGCACTTGCAATGCCAAGGCATACAAGGCTGTGGCCCAAGTGTTGGAAAATCGGATTAGAACAGTTAGATGGTTGTTTTTGACTGGCGCAGACACAATGGGCCAAAGTGCCTTTTTCCGTGCTGTAATTCTCTATGACTCTATGCGCAAATTGGCTATGATGTTGCAATTGTGACTTCAAAAGCATTCCAAAGACTGTAAAGTGCTTTGGGATATCCTATAGCCATTAAGACTGTGTATGAAGGCAAGCCTTTTGTTTCATGATTTGCACAGCACCCCTTGAGTATAAGAATATGCCAGAACAATTTGCAAGGGGAGTGAGGACAGAATACAAAACCAAATTTAGGAAATTGGTGGATCATCAAAAAGTATCGTCAAAGATTGAGGATTTTAAAGAGGCTACTAATGAACATAGGAGAAACTGCGAGTCATGTTGCTTGTGGGGATTGTTAAAGCATTTTGTTTCTGATCATCATCATTTCCTTTTGTGTACAGTCATTTCTTCAACCTTCTAACCTGGGTGGTAAGGCCAATTTCAGAGCTGCATTGCTTTTCATTGTGCAGGCAAGGATGAATTCTCTGATCAATGACGAAATAACGGATGAAAAACTGTACAGAATCACAGGAGGGGATATTGCGGAAGATCATGTAGGTTAGTCTGGTTAGTCCACACTAAGAGTACTGCATACAGCTCTGGCCTCCATATTGTGGAAAGGATATTGAGTCACTGGAAAAAATGCAAAGAAGATTTGCAACGGTGAATACCAACATGCAAAGATATGAATTAGGAGCAGGAATAGCTCACTTGGACCCTCAAACTTGCTCCACTATTTGATAAAATCATGGCTGATGATGGCTGTAATTGTGTCTGCAATTCCATATTCCTGTCTATCCCACTATACCCTTTGGCTCCCTTGTCAATCAAGAATCTATTTCACTCAATGTTAAAACTATTCAATGACCTTTCTTCCATTTTTCACTGAGGGCAAAAATTCCACAGACCAATGAGGAAAAAAAAATTCTCCTCCTCTCCATCTTAACGGGAGAGTCCTTATTTTTAGACTGTTTCTGCTAGTTCTAATCTCTCCCAGAAGGGGACAAATCCTTCTTGCATCCACTCTGAAAATTCCCCTCAGGATCTTACATGTTTCAATTATTCTGAATGCCAATGAGTACAGCCCCAGCTTGCTCAACCTTTCCTCATAAGGCAAGCCCTTCCTTTCAGGAATTAGTGGAGTGAACCTTTACTGAATTGCTTCTAATCCTGTTACTTTCTTTCTCAAGTAAACCATACCCTGAGAGGGACATGAACAGGTTGAATCGAATGCAGCTGTTCCCCTTAGTTGAAGGGCTACAACAAAGGGACACACTTTTAAAATGAAAGGCAGAAGGTTTAAAGGGGATTTGAGGAACAGAAATTTCACTCAGAGAATAATACAAGTCTGAAATGCACTGCCTGGGACAGTAGTTGAGGCAGGTAACCTCATAACCTTTAAAAAGTACTTGGATGAACACTTGAGATGTCATAGCATTCAAGGCGATAAGCCGAGTGTGGGAAAGTGGGACGAGCGTAGGGAGAAGAGTAGTTTTGGCAGGACAGTCTCGCTGGGTCAAAGGGCCTCTTCTGCACTGTATGATTCTATAATTCTCTGGTATTCATGGAATTGTACCTTACAGGCAGTACATTCAAACAAATCAATGGAACACCAATGGGATCCCCAATATCAAGACTGATAGCAGAAGCAGTAATGCAAAGATTAGAATGGACAGTGCTCCCCACTATCCAACCCAAACTCTGGGTCCTCTATGCCGATGACACCTTCGTGATTATCAAACGCACAAGACTAGAAGAAACCCACCGACACATAAACAACATCCTCACCGGAATAAAATTCACAAAAGAAGAAGAGAACAACAACTGACTACCTTTCCTGCATGTAATCGTGGAACGTAAGAACAATGGGGATCTCCAGACTAGTATATACGGAAAGATAACACATATGGACCAGATACTTAATTACACTAGCAACCATCCCAACACACATAAATGAAGCTGCATCAGGACATTATTCAAATGAGCCACAACATACTGCAGCAACCCAGAATTGTGCAAAGCAGAAAAGAAGCACTTATATGGAGTTTTTAAAAGCAATGGATACCCAAAAAGCATAATCTGCCATTACCTCCACAACAGACCACAACAAGAAGACACAACACGGCCAGACACATAAGTCACCCTACCGTACATCAGAGACATATCAGAGATGACCACAAGACTACTCAGACCCCTAGGTATCAGGGTAGCCCACAAACCAACAACTACCTGTGACAGCTACTGACAAACATAAAGGACCCCATACTGACAACCAACAAAACTAATGTAATGTACAAACTACCGTGCAAGGACTGTGAGAAACATTACATACGCCAAACTGGAAGAAACTGACCGTAAGGATACACGAACACCAACTAGCCACCAAGAGACATGACCAATTCTCACAGGTCTCAATACACATGCACAAAGAAGGGACACGAATTTGACTGGGAGAACACATCCATAATAGCACAAGCCAAACAGAGACATGACAGGGAGTGCCTGGAGGCCTGGCATTCCAACCGGAACTCCGTCAACAAACACATTGAACTGAGCCCGATATACAAACCACCAAAGAACAAAACTGGAACTGATACCAACCACTCCAGCAAACCAAGGCATATAAATAACATGCGGGACGGAACACCAACGCTTCACCGGAGGCACACTGACGATGTTACCTAGCAGCGTGATGAAATGTCTACAATCAAACACGCCGGCTCGGCGAGCAAGTCTACAACCTCATCCACAACCTGAGCTGCAAATTTTCTCAAAAACTTGAGAGAATGTTCCAGCTACTACCATCACAATTGTAGTTATGTCCTGTCCTACCGGCTAGACAGTCCCAATGAAGTTTAAAGCACATTGATATATAGTCAGAAGGGAGTTTGCCTGATAGTCCTCAACATTGACCCCAGGATGTCCCAGCCTTCAGGTAAAACATAGACAAGGTAACAGTTATCCACTTAATTACCTACCCCCTTACCTCATCCCTCGGCTAAGAATCAATACACCTCAGTGTTGAACATCAGTTGGAGGAAGCACTGAGGGTGGCAAGGGCAGAGAATATACTGGGTGGAAAACTTCATTGTCCCTCACTAACAGTGGCTCCGTATCACCACTACTGACCATGCTATAAGAGCCTAAAGGACATAGGCACCAGCCCGTGTCTACTCGACTTTGTCCTCACCAATC